CGCCACTAGAGGAAGCTGTAGTCAACTTTTTAAAGTACGACATTTGTCTCAATCCTCCAGGTGAAGAAATCGGAAGCAGCGCTTCAAGGAGCTCACTCGGTGGAAATCAATGAGCAGGAAAATTTCTTTTGCGAAATTATAGGGGAAGCCTTGGGAGACTCAGATACGCGAGGAACCCAAGAATGCGAAATAGAACCACAGCGTATTTCCAAGCAAAGAAAAAAAAATTGCGATCAAAGCAAAAAAGATTGGCGTTTTTTGAAAAACAAGTACAACGTCAATCGGAACATTTTGAGGCCATGGAAGCAAATGCTAAAGAAATAAAAGATAGTCTTAGACAAATTGAAAGCAACACAACGAAGTCTTACAGACTTCAAAACGAAAGACTGACTTTAGAAAAACTTAAATTAGTAAAAGAAAAACTTAAATTAAAAAAGAAAAGATGGCACTTCTTAAATAAGAAGAAGTTGTAAATAAAGCCAGAAATAGGGTAGATAAACTGAGGTTAAAAGTGCAGCTGTTGGAGATGCAAAAGGAAAACCTAATGTAATAGTTTGACGGTATATTTAAGTTTAGTTTAAGGATATATTTAAGCTTGGACCTGAATTAATGTGATCATGATTTTATGTGATTTAACTAACAAACCAACTTAAGTTTTTTTTATGAAAATAAGTTTTTGTTTTTTTTTTAACTTTTAACTTCTAGTTTTAATTAAATGACTGAATCGAGTAATAAATATATGAAATGAAGTGATGAAAAATGTACAAAAAATAAATAAAGTTCAAGACTGAAGTTGCATTTGCCGTAAAATGGTGTTTCTTATTTCGACGGCTTCTTCATTTATGTGTCCAGTTTCAGCAGCTATGCTATCTTGCGCTCCATACTGGTTTTCTGTGTCTCGATTAATATTGCTTTCTTCATCCGAAAAATCAGTATTGTAAGCAATGCATATGTTATGAAGAGCTGCGCAGACATTTATTATTTGCGTGGCCTTCCTTGGCTCATAGTGTAGTGCGAAAGCACCTAACAAGCACCTAAATCGATTTTTAAGCACCTCAACTTTGCGTTCCACTATATTCCTTGCTTGTTGTTGTTGTTGTTGTAGCGGCTACAACAACCCCGCCCAGATAGGCTAATATCTCAGTCGTTGTCGTCAAGTTCCACTTACGTGCAGCCCCAAGAAGCGTGCAGCCTCTATGGGGTCAGTCCATAGGGACGACGCCGTTAGGGTTGTGGGGTTTTCCGGGCATGCGAAGAGATGTTTCGAGTTGTGGGGGGTCTCTCCGCACGCCGGACATTCGTTCGGCACATCCGCATATAACCTACTCAGGTAGGAATTTAGCCCGCTGCAGTAGCCGGTGCGAAGTTGGGCTATTGTTTACCAGGTCTCCCGCGGCAGATGGAGCTCCGTCGCGTCAATGTCCGGTGTTTGTGTACCTAGAACGGCATTCACAGGTCTTGAGTCTACATAACTCGAGACTGCGTCCCTGTGAATGCCGTTCAGGGCCTGTCTGTGAGCTGACGGGTCCAGAGGTTGCTTAATGAACCTCTGGACTTCATCCGTCAGTTCATATAGATGGCTCCTGACGTGCCTCGGCGAGGGCTCCTCTGCAAGCAGCTGTCTATTTGGGTGGCCACATCTGTGGCTCCCAGCAAAAAACTGCTTGCAGAGCATCGTGTGGTGCTCCCTAATTGGGAGCATTTTCGCCTCGTCGTGGAGGTGGTGTTCTGGTGCCAACAGGAGGCATACAGTCGCTGTCCTAAGTGCTGTATTTTGTACCGTCTGTAGCTTCGTCCACTGCGCCCTACTAATCCCGGGCGACCACACTGGTGCTGCGTAGTCTAAAACCGGCCGGCCTATTGCATTGTATGTTGCCAGCAACGTTTCTTTGTCTTTGCCCTCTGTACTTTATTGACAATAGCGGTTGCGTGCGCAGAGAAGGAGAGCAGGCTGTCGAAAGTTACTCCGAGGATTTTAGGATTATTCACCGTCGGAATTGGTGTGTCATCGACGTGAATTCCTAGCGGTAGCCTGACCTCCTTCGTCCAGGTTGTGAAAAGGGTCGCGGAGGATTTCGTAGGGGAGAGGGCTAGACACTTTGCAGTGAAGAAGCGAGAAAGTTCAGAGAGATAACCGTTTACTTTCGAACACAGGTCATTAATTCCATTCCCAGTCGCCATGATCGAGCAATTGTCGGCGTAAGAGACAATCGAGACTCCTTCTGGTGGTTGAGGGAGCTTTGAAATATAAAAGTTGAACAGTAGCGGGGAAAGGACACCACCCTGTGGAGCCCCCTGTTTTATTTTCCTAAGTTTGCTCGATTTGTCTCTAAACATTACCGACGAGTGTCGGCCCCTCAGATAATTTGCCGACCACCGTTTGAGCCTCTGTGGGAGAGAGGATGCCTCTATATCTTCTAGTAGCGTGGAATGGCTGACAGTGTCAAAAGCCTTTGACAGGTCCAACGCTACTAGAATCGTTCTCTCACAGGGACGGTTACGGTTAAGGCCACTAGTTATCTGAGTGTTTATGGCGTTAAGTGCTGTTGTTGTACTGTGCACTTTACGGAAATAATGCTGATGCTTCGCTGGGGTCAAGTGGTTTGTGAAATACGGGAGTAGCAAGGCCTCTAGTGTCTTCGCTAACGGGGAAAGGAGTGTTATCAGACGATAAGAATCTCCTATGTCTGGGATGCTGAGAGTGGCCATGGACAAATTGAGGACCTCCGTTAGGTACGCTACCCCCGCAGGACCCAAATTTTTCAGCATCAGCATGCATATTCCGTCGGGACCCATGGCTTTGGAGGCTTTCGCCTTCTCGATGGCCACCTGAACTTCACGGCAAGTGAAAGCAAAGTGGGCACAATTTGTTGGCAGTTTGTGCAGCCTTCTGGTCACTCGACGCTTGGTTTTGTCCACCGGAAGATGCGGTATGAACTGCCGGCTAAAGTAGCTCGCGCATCGCTCCGGGTCCGACGAGGCATGGTCGCCGAAAGAAATTTCGACTCTGTCGTCGTGGTTCGTCGAATTGGACAGTGACCTCACGGTTGATCAAAGCTTACTCACACCAGAGGTGAAGTTGCAGGTCTTCAGATGCTCTTCCCACTTCTTCCGCTTATGTACGTTTACTAGTTGCGAATCTCCGCGTTGAGATCCCTGATACGGGGATCTCCGGGATCGGCCTGACGAAGGCTGTCACGCTCATCGGCTAGAACAGCCGCTTCAGCAGGGAAATTTGGGCGTGGGTCGGTGATGCATCCTGCCAGTACGAAGCGAGCTGTAGCAGCGGTGACAGCCCTTACGTTCACCAAGGTGGACGTCGGTTGGTGTGGGGAGGGCAACGAAGGTGTTTTCAGTAAATTCCGCGAAGCCTTTCCAATCAGCTTTTGAAAAGTTGATATATGTTCGGTGCTCCGCGGAAGCAAATTCGGTTGGTTTATCGATCGAGATGACTATGGGCAGGTGGTCTGATGCCAAAGTCAGCATATGTCGCCATGATATGCTGTTTATCAGACCAGCGCTGACTATTGTTATGTCTGGCGAGCTGCAGCAGCTGCCCATAATCCTGGTGGGTGCGTCGTCGTTCATTGTGCAGAATGTCGAATCGTCTATCTGCTCAGCCAAGTCAGTTCCCCTACGATTGAGTGCCAAAGGTCGTGGTGCGCATTAAAGTCACCTACTACCATACGGTTTTCACCTCTGAGGAGCGCACTTATGTCAGGGCGATATCCTACCGGGCAGCAGGTGACAGGGTGTATATAAATGTTAAATATTTCGAGCTCAACATCGCTTGACCGGATAGCAATGCCCTGACATTCTAGGGCGGTATCCCTTTGGTCGATGTCTGCTTCGATGAGACGATACTGCACGGTGTGGTACGTAATGAACACTAAGCTTCCACCATTATCCCGCTCGCGATCTCGACGATGCACGTTGTACCCGGCACAATTCAACAGTGCGCCTTCCCATGACGACAGTTATCTCCTCGATCTTGCTCTGTAGCCCGTTACAGTTAAATTGAAGGAGCTTCATATGGTTCGGGAGACGTGTGGTGATGCGGGGTATGAGGGATGTGTGTGGTCGTGCCGCAGTTGGCTGTGTGCGCTGCTGAGGTGGTTGCCGCGCTTTGGTGGTGGCGGGAGGCATCGCAGTTGAGGTCTGCGACCGAGCAGCGCAGCACGGGCCCTCCAAGTTCCTCGTCCAATCTGTGGTGCGCAGACCTGAGCATGCTCTAAAGTGGCACCAGCCAAGGCAGGTGTTGCATTTGACTGATGACACATTACGGAATATCCTGGTCTGACATACCGTGCAGATTGTAGCAGGAACCAGGAATTGTTGGCGGCGGCGTGTGGGTGGTGGTGTGGTTGTGTGTGTTCTGTGGTCTGTAGCCGTTGTGGTGTGGTCTATTGTGTTATGTTGTTGTGCTGCGGTCTTTGTGTGTGTGCTCAGGTGGACTGGGGCTAGCCGTGCAGGCTGCTCTGTTAGAGCAACAGGGGGCCACAAAAGACGTGGTCCACTGCCGATGTGTCCGTAGTCCTGAGCAGACTCTGAGGCGACTCCACCCCTCGCAAGCATTGCACTTGACAGAGGTGGAGTTGTGGTGTAGTTGTCTCTGGCATACACAGCAGGTGTAGGTTTCTGGCCCTGGGTTTGACTCGATGCCAGCCCTGAGTAGGATAAAACGTAGCGAATGTAGCCCTATGGACGAACAACTTCTGAGATACTTCGCCGACCTAAACGGGGTTAGATCGCCGAAACAACAGCCCTTGGTCGGGTAAAACCGGAGTCATTCCGGTACGTAGAACCGGCTGTCGTGGGAATGATTCCTTGCTTGTGAATGTTTTTGGTTAAATACACTCTCTGCAGATC